AGTGAAGTCCTAGCTGTCAGTCAGGGTTAATTCTAATGAAACCTGTTCACGCTGCAGCTGTGACACCTGTGGGGAGTGAGGGGTTGGGGTAAATAGAGCAACTTCACACTGGAGCAGGGATTTTTTTTTTCCCCGAAGTCATGTGTAGTTAACAACTTAAACATTCCACAAGGGACGGAATGTGTTCACTAGAGATGGTGGATACTTTTTCACTATTCATGATTTGAATCATTTTGCAGTTTGATAACCGTCAGTAGCTGTTATTAATTATTAATATTAATTTTAAGTACCTTTAAGTACCCTGATGTTTGCCACTCAATTTTATTTTTTTTTTTTAACACCACTTTTGTCATGCATTATTGGTTCATGCACATGAGAGCTAACAAAACATTTAGGGTGTTTACTTCAGGAATTTGGTGTTGCTTGAATGTGAAGACCAGTAAAAAAAATAAAATAAATAAAAAATGAGTACTGATAAAAGCAGATCATCGCAAGACAAAAATATTACAATAAAGCAGAGATGGAGCCAAACATTGGGTACATAAAAAATGAACTGTTTAGTGCATTAAGATGCATAAGTGCACTGTTGAGCTTAGCAGTAGCAAACAATTGGAAGACCACTGGAGAATGTTTTCACAATAATGAAAAACTATTGAGATCAAGATCACAGTCAAAGATTGTGTACTGATGGTTCAAATACTACCATAAAGTAAAGGGAACACCTGCAAGACCTTCGCAGAAAAGTGTTTAAAAAAATTAAAAAATAAATAAATAAAAACTGGTAAACCTCAACAAACTTATCTGATCTATCTATCTATCTATCTATCTAGTATATGGATTGTTCTGTCAGAGTTGAAAACACTTTTGGACATTTAACTGGTTTGGACTGTAGACTGAACTTCTGTTGCTTTGAATGACCCAACACCTTCATTATGTTTATTTTATTAAAACGAATGACTGAACATTCAGTTTTGTCACTAACAAATCATAACACTACTGAAACGTTACCAAATGTTTCAGCAATGACTGTTTCGGTAGCGACAACTTTGGATAATTTTAAGCATAGCTTAAAAAACGCTAGCCGGTACACGACTAGAATAGGAAACACAGCTTTGAAAAGTACTCATATATATGTGTGTGTGTGTGTGTGTGTGTGTGTGTGTGTGTGTGTGTGTATGTGTGTATATATATATATATATATATTTCCCCATTATTTCAGCTATGTCGGTATAAACCCAAGCCTCTAAACCTAAATCTAACATTTATAGCCATGTGTTACTCTCTCTAACCTACCGGCAGCTCTGGAGCCTCAGGTGTGTGTGTGTGTGTGTGTATATGTATGTGTGTGTATATGTATGTGTGTGTGTGTGTATGTATGTATATATATATATATATATATCTATCCCCATTATTTCAGCTATGTCAGTATAAACCCAAGCCTCTAAACCTAAATCTAACATTATAGCCATGTGTTACTCTCTCTAACCTACAGGCAGCTCTGGAGCCTCAGGAGGTTTGTTGTGACACTAGGGAAGTTATATGTGGAAAGGGGAGTGGGCTGCGGTGGGAGATGGTATCAGGTTGCCGTGGGGGCCTGCAGGGTGCTGCCTTGTGTCTGTACCTTTCACGTGCCTTGGCTGAGTCTCCTTATTGTGATGCACCATGTGGGGGGGACTGATGGGTCCAGAGCTTATAGCTCCTGCTCCTTCTCCATCTGCATAGGCCATTATCCGAATGGACACCACACCTCACACTGAATTTGAACAAATACTAAGCCCATGGTAATGTCATTAACTGTCAGAAGCTGACACAGTGTAACCCATGCTAAAAAGACTGAATGCTGCAAAGGAGATGCTATAATGCTCAGCGCAGACCATAGATCAGCTTCTGCAAGTCCTGCAGGTCTCCACATCTGCCAGTCAGTGTGCTTCTAGCCATGGACTCCTGCCAGTCGAACACTCGAATGAGCCTTACACTCCCAACAGAATACTTTACCACAAAAAATACTTGGACATTTTCACAATGCATGTCACAATATTGGGTTTTTCTAAGATTTAACTCTTAAATGCTGACAGAAGAGTGTCTCTTCCTGACATTTACCCTGCTCTTGAGTGTTAATGACCTGATTTTTGTTTGTTTCTTTTTGTCACAAACTGCTTTATTCAATAAGAAAACATATGAATGGGAATACAAGTCACACATCACTCACACTTTATTGCTTGGAAAAAATACAGTGCATCCAACAATAGAAGATACCTCATGTGTCTTTTACCGTGATAGAAACACAGTGTCACACAGACAAGTCCAGTTCTACATGCCGAAAGTGGTAAAATGATTCTACTGGGGATATGCATGTGACCTTTTCTGGCCAGAGCTTGTTGGGTTAATGTGGTTAATAAGTTGAAAGAAATGCAGAGTACCAAGAGATCAACTATACCACATTAACCTGTTTCTGCAGGCCCTCTAGTGGTCCTTCCACTGGTATACTGGAAGTCGGCTTGGGTATTTTTCATTAATATAATAAAGGTTAACTTTTTTCCCTGTAACTTGGTTATCAGATTTAACTAAGTCACTGTCCTCTCTCTCTCTTTATTTCTTTCTCTGAATTGTATCTCTGTGTTGGGCTGCTAGTGAGCAATAAGAGTTAAAGGCAAGGAGTGATAACCTCATGCTGTGAAAACAATTTGGACAGCACAGCTGTAGCTTTCTTCATGTAAAAAAAAAAAGCTACCATAATAGAAATTAGCATTTAAAAGTAATTTTATAGAAGTTGGCTTGGCTTGCTCAAATACCAACATTTAGCAATGAGTGTTTTAACTGTTCTTGTCTGAATTTGTCTGAATTTTTGAAAAGACGGGTATTTGAATGCTGTATCCCCAACAAAAATGTATTTAATATTATTAAAAATGAGCAACTGTACTAACACTAACAAAGCTCTGAAAGTACTCTGATGGTGATAACACAGTAATAAAACATTTAGCATGGGATTACTTATTCATTAACTCTTTGCAAGATAATTCTGAACCTTTTTATTTTGCTGTTTAATCTACAAACATTTACTTTTAAGTGGCCTTTTTTCTTCTAGCATAATGACATTTTGTTATGTTAGTGCCAGTGGTTTACTTTCACTTTCACATACTAGGTTTAACTTAAACACTGACATTTGAAGCTGGTAGGTCATTTAGTAAATATTCTTCTCTTGCTTTTACTTTGTTGTAGTTTTACAGCTGCCAGCTCCTTCTGTAGAGTTGTTTCCTTCAGGCACTTTATGTACATACATGTCTGCCATCAGCTGTAGTCCTTGTGGTGTGTTAGAGTGCAGATTTTTACAGTAGACATGAGGAGACAGTGAGCTGAAGGACGACGATCATCAGATGGCATTAGTTAACTCTAGCTCTTACTCGTCAGCTTGATGTGTCTGAGCTTCTAGACAGCTACACTATGTGGGAAATCTCTTGCAGTCAGTCTTCTTTAAGCACTGATGACACCCATGATGTGCTTGGAAAAGCGTAATTATTCCGGCATATCGCCTGTCCCTACTTGATGGGCCAGAATTCATTCATTATTAGCTACAGTTAGTAGAGTTTTTAGGTTAATTATTCCTTTAAAGCTGAAGCGGGTTCATTTCAAACTGAGGTTTTGTGTCCTAACAAATCAAGTAGAGTGACTGAGTAAGAAAATGCTGGAATCCAGGGTAATGGAGGTGCAGGCAGCGAGATAGAGCTGAAAGACGCAAAAGTATATGTGAGACAGCAGAGCCTTTTGCACTGTGGTATGCTGTGGGTGGAGCCTCTTCCTCCTGCAGTAATGTGGGGCTTCAGTGGAGTCAGATGAGATGCCTGTTGTCCTTGATCACTGTGTTCATCAGACTGTAGCAGCATGCAGGCCTCACTTTACATTCACATCACATCATTATCCTCAGTGGACACAACACGGAGAAGTACCTAGCTTCTTATCAAATCAACTCAGGGTGTGTGGCCTACTTATTTTTATTTTTCTTCCTCACTTGTGTGCGTCTGTGTAAATTGATGTGGCTTGTGTGTAGCATGACTCAAGTGCAGACTTTTGATGGGTAGAGAGTGTTATGCTTTTAATTACCCAGATTGAAGAACTCTTAATTAAGACCTTGCTTATTTGGGGCTGCCAAACCCTCTGCCTCTGTAAGCACTTGCTTTATAGAGGTGTGTTTTACCTCCATCTCCCTGAGTGTAAAGGGTCAGATGCTCTGCTGGCAGGATGACCCTTCCCTGCATCGCAGCCTCTGACTAATCCTGCGGTGGCTTTGTCAAGGGCAGCCAGCTGCGGCTGCCTGTTTATTTTTAACAGGCTAAGAGCAACATGGGGTGTTTTGAGTGAATTTGTAATCTGTATTTAAACACAGAGACATATGGTCATTATAAGGCATTACGGCGGCCCTCCGCCGAGGCTCAGGTTGTCATAGAAACATAGCAGTTCGTAGCTGTAGCTGTTTTTGTCTTGTAGCTGTTGTTACACTAGCAGCAGATGTTACCTGTTTTTGAGGTAAAGAGTTTAAAGGACATTTTGGGTGAAATTGGAAGAGAGTGATTGGATGATCTTTTACGTGCTGAATTATACAAATCCAACAATGCATTTACAGAGCCCAGACTTTTTATTGGTCGCTCTTAAGGCATGGATCACTGTTAGCTTTCAGTTTGATTCAGCATGTTAAAATGTAATAGTAAATATTAAGTGTGTGTGTGTGTGTGTGTGTGTGCTTGATTTTGTGCACCTTTAGCAGTGGGTAAAACATAAGAACTCAAGAAGAAACATACAAAGTAATTAGTAGGTGTGTCTACCTACTTTTGGTCACACAGTGCATTCAAAGTCACAGAAAATCAGGGTGAATTTGCCATCAGAAAATTCATGCAGATTCGTTTTCAGGAATTCTTAACAGTTAATTGACTAACTGCATAGGTGTTGTAATCATTGAGTAAATCATTAGATGATAACTAATGTTGTGCTCTGTTTCTGATCTGTAGTCGGTGGTGAAGACAGGGCGGCTGTTGATCAGTCATGAAGCTCCAGTGACCGGAGGCTTTGCTGCAGAGATCAGCTCTACTGTTCAGGTAAGAACCAAAGAGACTTTCAGATGTGGTATTTCAGATTTTTCAGTTTACAGTTTGTCACGATGATGGTGCTAGACAGTGTTAGGCCCAGTGTATTAACACATGGACCTGGAAACTGTTAATGCTGTTATTAATAGAATTTTATACATCTTATATCTATGTCTGTTGTGAAGAACTAAATTAATTAACTACAGTTGTGAGAATGTTCGTGAACCATTTTGAATGATCTGGATTTCTGAAGGTAATGCTCCTAAAATGTGATCTGATCATCACCCAAGCCATAAAATAAATAAATGGTTTGAACAATCAAAGTAGTTGTTGAAAATAATTATGTGAAGCCCTGGGATAATTTCCATTCAGTTCTGGCATGGTTTGACCTATAAATATATTTCATTATGTACTGCATGACACATTCTTGTTCAAGTACATTATGGTTCAGCTAATCACTTGTGAATCAATGCACCAGCAGCTGCAACAGGAATTGACTGAACATTCACAGGGTATTTCTGAGAGGAAAAAATGATTTCTAAAAACTTGGGCCTCCTTACATCCATTTACTTAGACAGGTAGTTTTACCAACCAAAGAAAAAGAATTAGGCAAAATCAGTGCAAGGCCACACCATACAATCTTTAAAGTGACAAAGAACCCTGGAGTGACCACTAAGGATCTGCAGGCGTTTTTGCTGCTTGATCACATCTGTGTTTGTGAGTCTACCAGAAGAAAAACTCTGAACAAGAGAGGTGTTTATGGGATGTTACCACCGAGGAAACCACTGCTCTCTATTGCTCTTTGGCTTGCAGTCATTGAGAGATTAACGAATTCCAGACTACATCAGACAATCGACTGTAGAAGGTCAGGGTGTCTGTCTGACCTTTCCTGTCATAATGAAATATATAGAGAAAGATTTAAAGATTTATTATTATTATTATTATTATTATTACTTATGATGAACATCAGAATATCCATGCAAAAATCTAGATAATTCTTACATTAATACAACATCTGCATAGAACAAACTTGAATGACACATTTCTACAAATTTTCATACATAATTACTACTCATTTACTGGATTTAATATATTAGGAAAAAAATACTAATAAAATACGTTATGTTCATAAGACTGGGCACCCTTTCAATCACTCCACTAGCGTTCTTTTATATTTTGTAAGGTCTTCGAGCCAAATTTAGTTAAATTCAGCAAATAAATAATAATTGCGCATTACAGTTTACAGAAGTATGCCATATCTATGTTTGCTCCATGCAGAGGTGGTGTTAAATTCTTTTCCCTTCGACATCAACAGAATGTATAACTTGATCAGGGGTGCCCAAACGTTTGCATACGTCTACATGTTTTATTTATTTTATCATATCATTTAGAGCAGACTCAGCCTTTCAGTAATACCAGTCGTTAAACACAAATTTTACATTTTAAAGATAAGCTGGTATGCAAGTGCAAAAAACTACACAACGGCAAATATTTTTTCTCAGTTTTTACTGAAAAAAGCGACAAAAACCTGTAGAGTGAAACAATTTGATTTAATAATCTTAACAGTGAACAACATTACCAACGAAAAAAAAATATTGTCTCTAGTTCAACTTCTTGAAGTTTGTATGTATTTAAATGTGTTTAGTTTAACTGTATTTATGTTTAGACATGTGTCGAGCATATTGCCGGTGGAATGCTGGGTCTTAAAGGGTTATTAGGGATGTTCCTTCTTCCCTCCTAACTATTTTGAAAGTCTTATCTACAAGCCATAGCCTCATTCTCCCTACAATGCATCATAAATCACCAGTATTTGGATATTTTAATGCTGTTTTGCCTTTTGTGTAGTTTTGAAGAGCTCTTAAATCTTAGTGTTTTTCTCTCTTGCTCTCTCGTATGATTGCTCTGTGGTTCTTGGTGAGGGGTTTAATAGGGTATGAATCATCTTTCTCTGTCTGATTCTGTTTTGGTCTTAGTTCCATTAGTCTCATAAATATACCATTAAAATGACCACCATTATTTCATCCTCTTGCTATGAGATGTCTGATGGTAAAGTTTAATATTAAGTGGGGTATTCTTTGGGTATTTATTGATGTAGTTGAACAAGTGAATTAAATAGACCTACCTATAAGTTAATGAAGTGTCTCAGGCCTAAATTCCGCCGTGGGTGGTGGCAGAGATTTGATTAGGCTTGATTTTATTGATCTTGTTAGACACCCAGAACAGAAATGGGCATACTGTTAAATAAGCAAATAAGTCATGTTTTGATTGTCCTCCTTGTCTGTTTGAACACGTATGTGTGTGTGTTTGTAAAGAAGCAGGAGAAAATGACCCAGGTTGAGGGCAGGTCTCTGGCAGAACAATGACTGAGTGATCGGACGTGGTGAGTCAGCTAGATGGAGCTGCTCTGTGTGCAGATAATGGGACGGAACAGGAAAGGTGCTAAAAATAAGGCTTTTAGCGGGACCATGCCTTGCGGTTCTTAGAGTGTAGCGTTTTAAGTCTACAATAACAAAGACTAATGAGCACGCCTTCATAGAAGCAACCAGAATGGCAAATCCAGAACCTATCAGTGATTGTCTGTCTCAAGGAACTTGTCTACAAATTAGGGTGTCAATGATTTAATAATTTTTCATTTGCAATAAACAGTTCTGAGTTGAATATGCAAGTTAATCATTCAAGATGAGGAGCATTTTGAATTGTAAACATGAGGCTGTTACTGGCAACTGGTTCCACTAGACAGGCCTAGTGTTTTTCTTTTCAGGAAGATGATTGCACAGCTACAAAGATGTACCATATTGAAAGCAAATATGGTAGATTTCTTTCGCACAGGGCTTTGAGGAAATCACATGTGGGTTGTGCAAAATTATAGAGAAGAACTGAATAGACAGTGACTGCTTTTGAGAGCTACGGAGGTACACTGAGCCAAAGCTAGCCCAGGTCATGGCATTTATTTATTTAGTTCTTTTTAACTTGGGCTACTTATGAGTGGTAAACTGTAACTGTAGAATTTTAGAATTTTAAGAATGTAGAACTTTTGGGAGCTCATCATTATTTTGTGCGCATGTTCCAGTCAAATTGTACAGCTTTATAGTATTTGGTCATATAATCATTAACATCTTATAGTTAGTAGCCCTTTAAGACAAACAATTCAAGAATAACATTTCTCTGCATAAAATAGCAAAGACCTTTTGCTTTTCATCGTCTACAGTACATAATATCATTAAAAGCTTCAGAGAATCCAGAGAAATCTTTGTATGCAAGGCTGAAAACAAGTATTGGCTGGCTGTGATATCCGGGCTCTCAGGCACACACAATTCTGTAGTGGAAATCACTGCATGAGCTCAGGAACACTTCTGAAAAACACTGTCTGTGAACACACTTCATCACTGCATCCACAAATGCTAGTTAAAACTCTATGTAAAGAAGAAACCGTATATAAACAGGACCCAGAAATACCGCCACATTATCTGGGTCTGAGCTCATTTAAGATGGACTGAGGTGAAGTGGAACAGTGTGCTGTTGTCCGCCGAATCAAAATTTGAACTTCTTTTTGAAAATCATGGACACTGCATCTTCCGGGCTAAAGACTATCAGGCTTGTTATCAGTGCACAGTTCAAAAGCCAGTATTCATGATAGTATAGGGGTGCATTAGTGCACATGGCATGGGTGACTGGCACATCTGTGAAGGCACCATTACTGCTGAATGATATATACAGGTTATGCTGCTGCTGCATATGCTACATCTTTTTCAGGGAAGGCCTCACTTATTTCAGCAAGACAATGTCATCCACATTCTGCGTGTGTTACAGTAGCCTGGCTCTGTGGTAAAAGAGTCGGGGTGCTAAACTGGCTTAGGTAGACTCAGCGAAGTATGGAATGGAGAGGGGTATGAGCCCTCACCACTCCCTTCAGCGAGTCTTACAGTGACTCCCTGAGACTGGAAGAGGAGTTCTGTGTCCTGTTATTTCTGGACTCATGGCTGGAACAAGAGGATTTTTTTAGGTCAATCTGGCTATTCCTGGACACCTCAGTGGAATAGTTGGATTATTGTTTCTCTCCTTTTCGCTCATGAAGTAGTTGGAGATGTGTGAGGCACGAAGGCTTCCTTTCCTGACTGGAGCTGGAGTGTCTTTGTGTCTTTGATTGGCATGGTGAGGTGTGTGTGCGTGTGTGTGCGTGTGTGTGCGTGTGCGTGTCGTGCGTGTGCGTGCGTGCGTGTGTGTGCGTGCGTGTGCGTGCGTGTGTGTGCGTGCGTGTGCGTGCGTGCGTGTGCGTGCATACGTGTGCGTGCGTGTACGCCTGTGTGTGTGTGAGGAAGAAGTTATGGGTGAGCTCATGTATGTATTTGAATGGGCCTCCGGGGCAGATGGAGAGAAACGGTGAACAGTGTCTTTTTGACTTTTTACATAACATATTAGAGATGGTAGCACCTAAGCATCAAAAAGTGTTACTGCTTCATTAAGGTATAGGGATATTAAAGGTCGAAACATAGTGCAATATCAGTTCAAAAGGATTAATGCCATGTTTTTCATCCTCTGACTCTCTATCACATAAATAACCAAGCTGATGCTCTACCACAAGCTCAGAATGTCAGCATGTCTATACATTCCAGAGTGACTCCAAGTTCTAGGAAAATGTTAAATTCCTACCACATGCTGTATGGTCTTGCCATAACCTGCTACTCCTCGGAGCACACTCCTCAGCCTTATGCCGTCTTCATAGCAGACCTACCACATTTTACAAGAGCCCAGCTTTGCTGGTCTTCAATTGCAGCCAGAAGCTTGTAATTTTAGATCAATAAGAATGAAGCGTTAAAGTACAAGAGCACTTAATGCGGAGTTGTGGAGATGAACAGCACATGAAAGTCGGTTAACCCCACTCAGACCTTGCTTGAAGGGCACGGTCATTTGTCATCATTGTGAACAGGGTCAGACCACCTCATTTTTGGTGTATATTTATACAGCACATTTATGGAGGAAGCTTGATGCACATTTTAGAAAGTAATTCAAACTGAATACTTGAGTTTAAAGTTGTACAGTCTCTGTGGGGAGTAATGTGAAAGATTGCTAGAACACTGTGAAAACAGCAGTGAAACTGGAGATTAATTTGAATATGATAGCACCATCTATCTCTTTTTTTCTTTCCTGAAATTAGTGACCCGGAGAGCTCTGATCATTTATTCATTTAGTGCTGCCAGGACTGTTAGCTAAAAGAGAGAAAATTGATGTGTCTAATAAAATAGTCTAATGTTTTTGCTTATTTGGTTTGAGATCTGTTGACTTAATGGGTCAGTACATCCTGCTTATCACTACCTAGATTTGGCCAGCTGATTAACAGTATTAAATGTTCCTTTCCATGTCCAAGTAATCAAGTACATCCTTCATCAGATGGTGGTGTAGTGAGAAATATTATTTTAGATTCTTCGAAGACCTGCTTTATTTTCTTTTTAATGCATAGAAGGTATTGATTGCTGTACTGTTCAACATCTACATCAGTGTTGAGGCAGTTTTGTGGTAAATATGAAACGAATGTGATGCTAGTTCATTTAATGGCTCCGTAAGTTCATTCTGGATGTAATACATTCAAGTTATAGATATTGAAGGTTTCTCTGGGGGGAAAAAAGGGAATTTTGTGCAGCTGCGGTCATGTAAACCAATCAGGTGTTCCATGGTTTGTGTTATAATTTTGTAGATTTTATTAAACAGTAGAAGCTAATTGCCGTTAATAAATAAGTTATTACGAAGAGAAATCTCAAGGGCTTGTGCAGAAGTCACTGTTTGGTACAATTTCCGTGAGATCACAAACGTAGGATGAGGCACAGAGGTGAGCTAAGTTATGATTCCAGGCTGCTTGTGCCTGCAGTTGACCCATGTGTTCAAGCATTTTAGTAACATTTGCCCTCTTTGTCTTAATATTCTTCAGTCAGACAGAGTTCAGCAAAGACTCACCATAAAATATTGTGACTTAAACTGTTTCTGAATGAGTGTTTTTTTGTGCGCAGCAAGCATGAAATCACTATACACTAAATCTTCTTCACAAATAAGAAAATGCCAGACAGACAGAGAGGTCCAAAATGTGGCTATCCTCATCTGACTTTGGGCTCCACAGGGAAGCAGTTCTCAATTGTCTTTTTTGGCTTTCACGCTTGGTAATACTGGCATTTCCGCATCACTCTACACTTTCAGTAATCTCCAATCTGCGGCTGTCACTGACAGAAGGTGTTTTTTTTCTCTGACAGTAGAGTAGACAAAATTTATAACTGCAGCTTTGAGCTCTGAAATCATATTTTTAAATCATGCCTCAATGCAAAACTCTATCCACATTCGCCTTGCCATGTTGCCATATTTTTATACTGACATTTAAAGTACACTGCATGTAATCATGCACTTCCCGCAGATAAACACTGATTTTAGTGAAACTGGAGTTCTGCGGAAGTTCGCTGTCCAGATGCGGTGGCTTGCTACCAGACTGTACTTTTCTTGTGCCCTTCCTGTAAGCTTATTTAGAGAGATTTTTTTCTTTTTTATTACAGAAAAAAACACTCTAGGCTGTGGAAGGTCAGAGGAGAAACTGTTGTCTAGACATATGCTGGCTTGGCAGGTGGACTTAACTGTTTTAGGGCTAAGTAAAGACTTAAATGACATAAAATTACGCCTTGCTGCAAATCATGAAGAGATGGCCTCTGGCTGCTGCTGGGTTGGTATTGGGGAGATGTAGGCCCCCAGGAGAGAGCTGGAGAAAGGCTCCTCTGGGGTTTTACCGAACTATTGACAAAGGAGGACTTTTTATTTTCCTAAATTTATAGTCTGATCATAGAATTAAGCCACTTCACTCAGTGCTAACAGCCTGAAATCTCATCTAGCAGCAGATGTTTCTTTAAATATGTGGGCTTGATGGGACACATCTGTGTAAGAGTAATTGTCCTGTGTTCTGTGAGATTGCTTGTGTTATATGACAGATATATATTTGTTTTCAGCTGTGACATAACAGCTACAGCGTGTCAACATTGGACTATTTTTTTTTCGTAATGCTAGTTCATGCTTGAGCTTAAGCCTTCACAGAAAAGCCAAACTTATTATTACAGATATCTGCAGGCATCAACAGTAAGAAACTGACAGGAAAACAGTACCGGCACATAAATCCAGTGATCTTGAATGCAGTGATTTCTATGGGGTATATATTTAAATACGCTTGAATTCAAGCAAACATTCAAATATTGATATCAGTACCCTTCTGTAGTAGGATTCAGTTAAAATAGAAGCTGAAACACTTCCTCACCAGATTCTACACGCAATTTGTACTTGCACATCGCAAAGCATGTGTCTGCGCTTCAGCTGTGCTGTGAGAGTAGTTTAGGGAATATATCACCATTATGCCATTTTGTTGTTTAATAGAAGTAAAATACACAAGCTGCTCTTTACACGTCTAGATAATCGACCAACAGAACTGGTCTAAAATTACTTAGAATAAAATTGTATTATATTCATCTGCGTTGAAAGTTAAGAGATTTTATTTTTTTTTCTCACAGATTTAATGTTTGTTTTGACAGTGACAAGATGCTGTTTTGGGGACAGCCTTTACTCATGTTGCTAATAAAGAGGAAGCGAGTAAAAAGGAGGAAAGCACTGGTTGAAATGTCCCACATCCATTAGGCCAAATGACTGTTAGTTAAGTAGGGCGGATTGCCGGAGGTGAAATTTGTCAAGCGTTTGGATTGCAGGAAGAGAAGGCCTGCCAAGTGGATACAGGTCAAAAAAGAGAGAAACATGCTATAAGGTATGTGGGGAGGATCCTGCAGGCTCCCCACTATAGATAGTCTCCAAAATAGCTGATGCTGCTTAGGCTCAGTGTGCTAATCTGAATCTGATATATCCTGTTCTCCAGTGTGTTTTTTGAACAGGCCATGAAATAATACATTGCCCAAGGGGCTTCTCTTAGAGCTCGACTTTTTCAACCATTGCCAGAAAACATGAGCGCGGGCATGTGCTGTTTGACTGGATTGAAAAGCCACGTGTGAGATGATTCACACTGCTCCTCACCTCACCTTGCTTAAGGGCAGTCAGTGAAGGGTCAAAGAGGACACCATCATGTAGTTAAATTACCTTTTTTTTTTCATTCTCTATAAGGGTCACCAAAATAAAGAAAAAGAAAGAGAAGAAAAAAATCAGACGTATTGGCTTTGTGCACTGTCTGATACAGCAGTGTTTTGAGTGGCTTTGATGAAAGTGAGTGTGGGTCAGTCTGGCTTGGGCTTTTTTCTGGCTCCCCTTTACTGGCTCAGCCTCCCTCTTCAGTTGCCGTGTGGGACAAGACACAAGACAACTCTGCCAGAGCTTATGAAACACACATCCCTAACCTGAAGAAAGAAGAAAGTTTGCATCAGTTTGTTCTCCTTCTGCAGTCCTAGATACAGGCTTTATATTTACTACTCTCAAAGCAGTACTCTTGTGGCTTTTAGTTATGATTGCCAAGAAGAAAAACAAAAACAAGGCAATTTCCTCAACGCAGATTAAGTGTAGCCCCCATTGGGCTTACACTGAAGAGTGAGCGAAGCCCATAACACAACCATCAACATTTTTGCGTGCTTGGATTAGCCAGATATGCACATAACAAATGCACACAGTTCATGCAGTTGTCAGTAAATTATGTTATGTTTGTATTTGCAGGAGCAATGTTTCCTAAACCTGGAGGCACCCATCACCAGAGTCTGTGGATACGACACCCCTTTCCCTCACATTTTCGAACCCTTCTACATCCCAGACAAATGGAAGTGTTTTGAGGCTGTAAAACGAATGATCAACTACTGATATCAGGTAAGGTTTAAATGCAGAAAATAAGATTCAAATCAAGGTTGTCCAATTTTGGTGTGACTGCAGATTTTCATTCCAAACAAGCAGCAGCACAACTGATTCTACTCATTAAATCAGTTGGTCTCATTCTTCAAATAGCTGACCGCGTGTGCTCATGCTTTATTGGCATGAAAACCTGCAGCCATGCTCTCCCTTTGTGGATACAACTGGACACCGACACTTTGTGGATAAGGCTGGGCACCATTTCTACAAAATAACTACAATTAACATGCAACAAAAAACAACTTTTTTTCCCCCTCATAACGTAATTGAAAACAGGAACACAATTACTTTCTGCTTCCAGAGCGAAAGCCGTGTGGATCATCAAACCAATAAAAAAAAATATTGCTATTTTAATATGCCTAATATCATTACGGTACACTATATCTAAAAACCATTATTCCATTCCAACCAGTTACCAGCTGGAGAGAGGGTGCCGAATACAAGAAAAATGTTTCATTTCTAACTAGAGTGAAATAATGGCTGTTAACCAGTTAGCTACCATTTAATGCTATTTTTGTTGCTGTTTTCTATCACATTTGTTAAAAAAAATCCTCTTTTTGAGTTTTTGTTTTTCTTTCCTGTACTATTTCAAATCCCTGCCTCTAAGTACATCAGTAATCTTTGTGGAATCCCAAGAAGCTCTTGAGAAAGTTTTCAACTAGAGGCTTCAGTCAGTCTGAGTTTACCCTCATTAGCTTGTAATCAGATTTATTTTTTACTCATGCTTTTATTTTATGGTAGTGATGTTGCCCATTTAAGCCTGAGAAACCAATGAGTATTGTGGGATTAAATGATCTGATGTGGCATCACCACTTTTGTCTTCCTCTGACTGGTTTAATATATGTTTAACCGTGGGTGTCATTTTAAGTACAGTCATAAAAAGCAATGGGGGGGATGTGGTCATAAGAATGAGTAGGAATTAACCATGAGTAAAAGTTTCCCTTACATTATTTCTCACTTTTCTTCAAAAGTCACTAAACTTTAATCCAAGAATTTTGTCTTTTTTAAATGATGTGATTTGATGAATTGTGCTTTGTATGACCAGTAACATTTTGATTTCTAATTATCTTTAAATGCTTGCTGTGTTGAGTTTTTGCTGTCTCTGTGGAAATGTGGAACAAATTTTTCTCTCTTTAGCTCTAGAATTTATAGGCACTTTATCATGCAGCTCTCTCTCTCTCATGCTTTCTGTCTGTAGATTGTGGACATGATGACCTCAGCACGGAGTTGCTGCCCCTGACAGACTGTTACTTGTGCGTTTTTTGAAATGGACATGAACTTCAGTGATCAGCTATGTGGAACACTATACATGAACACTAATAAAACATATATCTAGTGGGTGCTTTTTTTGTAGTTAGTGATCAAATGTTTCCATTTTTGCTGTTAAGAATGTCATCCCTCTTTTTGTTGATCCCTTTGTTTTGTTTTATTAAAAATCCCTTGGTGTTTGTTTTCTGAGGGAATTAAAAGGATTGATCGTGCTGTTGTACAGTGAATCCTCAGACTCCTGCTGTTGCTGTCTGTCTGTCTGTCTCACACTGATGCATTTTTCTTTTTTGCAGTCAGTTAACAACATGCTGTAGTTTCAGCTCTTTCTTACCTCTAGAAAACTGTGATGCTTCATCAAAATAGAAAATAATCCATGCGTACTGATGTTCTGTTTTTTGTTTTACTTTTAACCGTCAGTAGTTATTTAATTGTTGAAATACAGCAAAACTGACCAGATTAGATCAGTGGTTTTCTGAAGCACTAAATTTTCCAAGTCATGCTTGTGATGCAGAGTTACAGAAGGAGTTTGTTACGGAATTAATTGGTCCAACATGTAGATTTCGTGATTATTGCCAATCCTTTCTTGTCCCACTTCTATGACTCTTTACACACAAGCATATTTGCTCAGTCTTCTTTTCAGCTGTGTGGAGTTTGTCTGGACTTTCTCAAAATAATGTGGACTTCTCCATGGTAATATATGTAGTGACATACTTGACACCTTCTCTTACTGTAAAGGAAAGCTTCGTTCTGCTAAGAGAGTCAATGTGACACATACCCAAAGGCAGGAATCATACATCATGTGTCAAGTATTGTATGTTTATGTGTATAAAGTGATGTGTGCAGGTCTGGGTCTGCATATAGGTGCAGTTTTTAGTGCTGGCCTGCCTTCACAAGTACTATTTGCATGCAGAGGACAGCTCAAAACTGTTCATCTCATTACTCTTTTTGACATGAATACCTGTGCCAGAATTTCTTGATACAACCTTACAAAATCTCATATGAGGCCTTTAATAAATACAGGTAGCTCGCTGTTTAGAAACTGTCCTTAGTTATGATGCTGCACATTGTGTACCTCTCCTCATTTCATTTCAGTGGGAGGTTGTGGCTTTGGCATCAAACATGAAAAGGAAATCAACATAGTAACCATTCAAAAAGCTGCTGAGACAATGTTACTAATCACCAAGTATCAACAAACCTCATGAACGCATCGAAGATGGTTTTCAGTGCCCTTAAGCCTTCTTGCCACAAATTATAGTGAGGATGCAAAGATAAAATAGTATCTGTCATTTTGGTTGGAGTGAAAGCGGGCCCTGACCACATTGGAAGAGTAGGGCTCTCCCTTGGGCGAGGTAGTGAATATGACCTTTGGTTGATTGGGTATTATAGCGCTTACCAGACATAGTGCCATTATTTTTCTACATATACATCTGGCTGAATGTCATTAGTGTTCTATTTTTAGGTGTAATTATATTCCTATGTCATAAATTGTGTAGAAGTAAGCCATTTATGTACAGTAAAGAAACATGCTTAATACTAGTTCATAGCCATAGGCATAATAACTGCTCTCAAATAGTGTGCATGCCTCAATTTTTGCTTTTTTGTTTTTCGGCATTGATGTCAGCGTTGGAGGTATTAGAGATGCAACATATATCATGGCTTTGTGTGTGTGTGTGTGTGTGTGTATGTGTGTGTATGTATATATATATATAAGGGGTGGGAATCTCTAGGCACCTCACGATTCGATTACGATTCAGAGGGCTGCGATGCAATTATAAAATAATTATCGATGCATCTTTTTTTTCTATATAGCATTTATATTTTCTCACTGTGTGAGCTCAAATTTCAAGTTCAGGTTTCAAGTTTTTTTGTCATTTGCACAACATGTCAGGACATTTATGCATTGAAATGCTTGTGGTGAGGCTCAGGTAATCACTACAGAAAGTAAATAAGTAAAAATAAAAATACAAGAAAAACCAACGGAAATATATTAAATATACACAAAATATACACAGAATATAGAGACAATATACATTTTAAAGTGACTGTTTGGAGCACGAGATTTCATCACTCATCTGTGATAAAATGCGCAGTTACACTGAAATAAGATCCAGTGGCAGTGGATGTCCACGCAGCACGTTACAGCTATTCTACCTGTTTTCTTTAGTGATTTTATAACTTTGGTTTTGGTCTCGTTGTAGAGACGGGGGGGGATCGCTGTGTCAGTAAAATATCTTCTAGACGGGACATGTGCAACATAGCGTGGAAGCCCTGTTTAGCAACGATTGAGAACCGGCGTGCAGACTACAGGTCACCTAGCAACGATGCATTATTCGCGTTTATAAGCAGCGCAGTTGGTTTCCTGGTACGTTAAATCTGCAACGAGAGACTGTCAAACACTAAAAAGTGGCGAAGCCTTTAGTCAGCTTCTCTTTCGAATTCTCCCGTTCCACCTTAAATGGTGCCGCGTTTACATTCGGCGCCTCAGGATTTAAGGTGGAACGGGTAAATTCAAACAAGAAGCTGGAAAATAAGAAGCGACTTCAGCCTCGTAAAACTGTCGAACGTTGAGAGACATTTAACTGATCAACTTCTGAGGAAAGGTTTTCTGGCGGAGATGGGAGGAAAGCGGCTATAGCTGAGCTAAAGCTTAAAGCACAGCAAAGTAAATCTGTGTTTTCATTTATATTGTTTAGTCTATACTGGACATTATCACATACTGAGACATACTGGACATTAAATGTTGTGGCTCCCAAGATGGTTTGATTTTTGTTGAAAGGACAAAATGTCTCTTCTTAACATTTGGGTTGTGACTCCTGATCTAACCTGGCTTTTAATGCAGAGGGAGCCGGTCGGATTTCTCGCTCATCCAGTTGTGTTTTTGTCATGTGCCGCCACAGACTGTCCGGGCGCTGCACTTACCCACTTCCAAGTTCCGCCTTTTGCGTTCTGTCAACATTACGTTATAAATTAAATATTTAGAAAATCGATTTTTGACATTTGTGAATCGATTAAGAATCGTTCACGTCCGCATCGCAATGCATCTAAGAATCGATTTTTTTCCCGCACCCCAATTTTATTTTTATCTCAACTTTTAACTTGTTTAAGATACTCGGACCTGTTCTTGAATGTTCTTTTTAAAGGGGCTGTGGAGACAAGTCCTCAGATTAACAGGCTTTTGTCTGTGCATCCTTTAATTTATGATTCCAATTATGATTCAGCTATTTTGAGTCAAGACTAGCTTAGAGAAAGTAGTATTTGGAGGGTTTAGAACAGGATGGATTCACAGGAGCTGCTGGGGCTTCTGGCAAATCTCTACTTCATTTGGTTCGCCTCTGTAAGACGCCTCAGCCCTTAACACCTCCCCTGGGAGGCTATTTGGACGGGGCCTCTTCCCTCTGTTTCACTCTTCTGTGCTCCTCTTCCTTACACATGGGAACCCTGTGACCCAAAGAGAATAATAATAGAAATGACATCCAAGTTTTTGTCATCTTTCCTGATGTGGTGCTGGATCTCTCTTTTCTGGAAAATGAAAGTTTCTTTGCTCGTGGTAAGATGTATGGGGAAAGGTTTAAACAAACTTTTAGCTGGAGGCTGCAGCAACAAGTACCTGCAGACCAGTTGTGCAACAGTTTTTTAAAAAATGACACTTTGGACTACAGATGTAGCATTGATGCCAGTACTGGGGACAGAATTCTGAACTTATGGCTTTGAGAAAGCAACTAAACTAGAACTGACTATGAGAATGTGGTATTTAAAATAATCCCTGTATATGACTGTATATGGTTGGATGTCACAGTGCTTCTTCCTGATGTTCCCCCTCTTCGTTTTCACTTCCTTATAGGAAAAATTTGTTTATTTTATTGACATACGAAGATGACAGGGTGGACAAGGACATCACAAATAGACTTGGGTATGACAGCGCACTAGAACCCAGTTTTTTTTTTTTTAACTGAAGAAAATACTTAAATGACATTTATTGAGAACATTTTATTTAAAAAGCACTATAAGTTTTTTTGTTAAAATTAAAAGTAGCATTACTGAGTCAGGAAAAAAAACGCTAATATATGGTGTGTGTGGATGTGTGCTGCTGTTTTTACATATTAACATATTGGAGGCAGTCATAGGCTGGAGGTTAGGGAACCAGCCTTGTGAGCAGAAGGTCGCCGGTTTGATCCCCTGAGCCGACTGTGCATGACTGAGGTGCCCTTGAGCAAGGCACCTAACCCCCAGCTGCTCCGCTGTGGATAGGGCTGCCCACTGCTCTGGGCAAGTGTGCTCACTGCCCCCTAGTGTGTGTTGTTTCATGGATAGGCAACATTGCGGGGTGAAATTTCCTCATTGTGGGACTAATAAGGGTGTCTTAATCTTAAAACATCACATTCAGAGGCTCAAATAGCTCGATGTTGAGGTCTCAAAGGTAAAATCAACATTATACTGACGAAAATATGATGACAATATTAGATAATTCACTTACATTCTCGGAAGATGCGTCCTTCACCAAGTTTTGACTGAGTTCACCAAGTTTTCCTGATTCATCCGCTCACTGAAAAAGGGTCCAATGTGAAAACCGATATTACAAACTGTCCTTCCACACATTGCAGGCAATTGCCCATTCCCACCAGAGAGGTCTCCAAATCCCCAAATCTTACATTTAACATCAAATTAACATCAAATCTGAAAACAAAATGTAAAAGGTTCACATTTGTTGTTGTAGCAAGACCTTACTATAAATTACATAATAAAGTGTTAAGAATGGGCATCAGCTCCCAGAATTTATAGCAAAATACCATAACATATCGTAATTTAATAAAATAGTATGTTATTATAAAAATTTATTGTTAAATCACAGTATTTGTCCACAGTGTGTCCACCTTGACAGGGGGAGATGCATGACAGGGTGGATGTGTTTAGTGTTAAATTATTTAAAATGACCTTATACTGTTTCACAAACATACTTCAATATTTAGAAAATTTATGAAGTATCTGAATAGTTTACCATGACAAGGTTGACAAGTTAAACTTGACCACATGAAGCTACAACTAAATTCATGAAAATTAGGAAACAAATTGTAGTTACTTTCTGTGCATGCACAGTTGTTATTAACTTTATCAAAAGAAAACAACATGGTGGTTTTAATACAAATCTACATGCAGTAACCCCAATGTGACGGGGTTGGCAGCAATTTCAGGGACCCATATAAAATGTTTAATACAGAATGAAAAGTACAGCAAAAG